GCAATCACACCAGACAGAAGGGGAGAGGGATCATTGGCTGGAACAGCACCAGAGGAAGGACTGGACTGGACAGGGCCTGATGAAACGGACACCGGCGATGTGCAACGGAGAACGATGGTGTCCATTTGCAGCTCAGCTTAACGCAGCATGTGGAATGTGGAGATACGCTGTTCCAGCTCGGAGATTTTTTCAGCAAGAACGGAGCAGTTGACGCAGCCAGGTGGAGAGGTAAGTGGAGCCATTGTTATAGCACCTGAAATTAGAAAGGAAAGGGGGGGCAGTACAGGGTCAAAAATACAATACAGGTGTGGCTGAGAGTAAACGGGCACAGGCACTTACATGCAGGGGCTCTGATATGGAGCCTGCAGCGGTGAGGTGTGTCAACGTAAGCCGTGAGAGACAGACAGATAAAGCAGAGTAATTGAGGCTTACCGGCGGGGGCCCCAAGACAGGGCCCGCTGCTGATAGTCAGCATCCAGGTTCTTTAGTTATGGTCTTCTGGTGGATCCCAGTGGCTGGTGGTGGAGCCCAGGGCTGGTGATGGAGCCTGCATCTGGTGGTGGAGCCTAGGCCAGGCCTTGAAGCTAATCTCAAGGTTGGTGATGGAGCCTTGGGGCTGGTGGTGGAGTCTAAGCTAAGCCTTGTGGCTAAACCTAGAGCTGGTGGTGGCTCCTAGGCCAGACTTTAAGGCTTATCCCAGGGCTGGTGGTGGAGCCTAGGCCAAGCTGGTGCTGGAGCCTAGGTCAGGCCTTGTGGCTAGTCACAGGGCTGGTAGTGGAGTTATCGCTGCTCAGGTCTGCTGCTGTTAAGTGTGACAGTTGTGGGCTGCAAGGTGGTGCAGTTGTTAGCACTGTTGCCTCACAGCAAGAAGGTCACCGGAAGCTGTCTTTGTTCGTCCTCATCTCCTCCATATACCTACCAAATTACACTCCAAGCTCTAAAATGCAACACAGCTGAACTATGCCCCCTACAATATTTCCCATCAGGCCTTCGTTTGACGTAGAGCTACAAAAATTCGCCACACATATGTAGCAGCTCGGGATGCACAAAAAAGTCAATTAGCATGTTTCGAGCATGCCAGGTCATTTTTATCTCCTCCTAGGGGTTCCATCACACACACCTGAAATTTGGGCAGCACAAACTGCAGGATGTGGTGATTAAAAGTTCTAAAAACGCTCTGCAACCAACTCCCGGTTTGGAAGTGGCGGCACGTGCAATTTCAATCAATGATGAAGACCATGAGATCCAGTCAGAGTCAGAAAACAATAGTTAACCTTGACTCAAGTTTATTATAAACTAAATATTTAAAGTATAATGTCTCCTTTTACTATTACTGAAAGCTGAATGTTTGACTGATCAATCAATCAAGCAATCAATCAATCAATCCATCCATCTTAATGTGTGTCGTGCTTTTTGCACAAATTGATTGTAACACAAAGCTATTTACACAATAAATGTCGCAATAAAGGAATTCATTTAATCAGGTACTGAGGAAATCTGTTTTCTTTCCAAAAAAAAAATGTAAATGTGATCTTGTTGACAGACCTGAGCCTGGTGATTCCTGCGACAGAGAGATGGTGGTCTGGTCCTGAGGGGGGCGCTAGTGAGTGAGGAGGAGGAGACAGAAGAAGAAGAAGAGGTGGGCGGAGCTATGTCCAGGTGTGCTGCAGGTGGAGGAGACAGAAGAAGAATGACAGCTGAACGTCAACTCTGTTAAAAGCTGTAAGTTTGCTTTGTTTGCTGCTTTAACTTCAGTGATGCTGCTGTTTGTTTCTGCTCTGTGATGTTTCTACTGGTTCACTTCCTATTTCACCACAAACTCTGGATCACTGCTGTTTAAACATCAATCAGTACAGAAGTCAAACTGCGGCATGTCTTTTCTACTTTCGGTTTCTCTGAGAACCACTGCAGCTCCATGACTCCATCTGCTGGACTGATAGTAGAAGTGCAGCAGCTGATGTTTTTCAGGAGGATTTCAGTGGATCAGTGATGTTTGTTTCCTCTGCAGGTGAAGCTAGAAAGTGTGTGTGAGCTGCTGTGA